AAAACTTTAAAAAATCATATCTCAGAAAGTTTTTGACGAAATGTATTAAAAATTTCAGCAATTGCTTAACTTTGTATGTACTACCAGCCCTGAAAATTTTAGGAAGATCTGAAATGGTGTGGTAAACAATTGTCAAAATGCTGGTTGAGTTGATATGGAATGACTCCAATGGTATTTTAATAATAAATTCTAATCAAAATTTTATTTTTTACTTGTCATTTTAATAAATTTACTGGCCATTCTAATAGATTTACTGATCATGTTATAATTTGAGCAACTTAATGCTCATTTATGTGTGTTTACACAGAACTTATGGCTGCCATTAAACCCGAGTTAATGGCAAGAAAGAGCACATTTTTATAAGGAAGTATAAATTTATGTAAATATGCGAATATGTTTTTACATTTAATGTGAAAATTCTATTTGTATAACATTACATACAAACACCTGTGTAAACATAGGTAGAATAAATTTGTGAGTATATGTATAATGCAAAACATGTCAGGGCTCTAATTAAACATATTGCGATTGCTTTTCAAACCTTCACAATTAGTTTTTTCTTAAAAAAATATTTTTTTGATTTGTTTGTTTTTTTGTTAATTTATTTTCTTTTCTAATTTAGCAACTTTTTTTAGCCATTCTTAAAAAGTAACATTTTTGTATAAGTTTTTTTATTATGGGTCATAAAATACGTCACGCTAAATTTATCTTTTGAATACAAGTATAATCTTTGCTCTCTTGCGCGGTAATTTTATTCAACATAAAGCACTTTTGAATTTAAATAACTTTAAATCTCTGCATGGAAGCCATTTTAAATAACTTTAAATCTCTGCATGGAAGCCATTTTAAATAACTTTAAATCTCTGCATGGAAGCCATTTTAAATTACTTTAAATCTCTGCATGGAAGCCATTTTAAATAACTTTAAATCTCTGCATGGAAGCCATTTTAAATAACTTTAAATCTCTGCATGGAAGCCATTTTAAATAACTTTAAATCTTTGCATGGAAGCCATTTTAAATTACTTTAAATCTCTGCATGGAAGCCATTTTAAATAACTTTAAATCTCTGCATGGAAGCCATTTTAAATTACTTTAAATCTCTGCATGGAAGCCATTTTAAATTACTTTAAATCTCTGCATGGAAGCCATTTTAAATTACTTTAAATCTCTGCATGGAAGCCATTTTAAATTACTTTAAATCTCTGCATGGAAACCATTTTAAATTACTTTAAATCTCTGCATGGAAGCCATTTTAAATTACTTTAAATCTCTGCATGGAAGCCATTTTAAATTACTTTAAATCTCTGCATGGAAGCCATTTTAAATTACTTTAAATCTCTGCATGGAAGCCATTTTAAATTACTTTAAATCTCTGCATGGAAGCCATTTTAAATAACTTTAAATCTCTGCATGGAAGCCATTTTAAATAACTTTAAATCTCTGCATGGAAGCCATTTTAAAGTTATATTTATTTTGATTTAATGAAGTACATCACAATAAATTTACCTTTAAACTAAATCAAAACAACCAGTTAAGCTACTGCAGTAACTTACGGTTAACTCAACTATTAAATTTACTCTAATTTAATTACTTTAATTTATTTATTAAATATATAAAATTAATATATATATATATAAAATTAATTTAATATACTCAAAGACTCACAAAAATTAGCCATATAAATGTTTCTATTTATATCTTATAAACACATAATATTGTAACCACATTGTTTTAAACACATAATATAAGCTTCTAACTAAAAATTATTTTACCAAGAAATCTTGAATAGAATATAAAAAACGCAATACCATTTTTTTATATTTTATTCAAAACGATATCAAGATTTTCTATAAATATGCAAGTTGCTTTTAGGAATTTTATTTAAAAAGAAATCTATTTGAATAATAGTTTTAGTTTTCTAAAATTCTCTTAAATAAATAACTTTTTGATTGAAACGAAAAACTGATGAGCAAGCGTTATTTAAATGGCTTAACCATATTGGTCATTAAAATATTATGTCTTTGTTTGCAAAAAAGTTTGTATTTTACCGGGTTGCAGTTCGTGGTTTGCCTTTTACCGACTACCTTTAATTTATTAAAACAATTCTGTTTACTTTGTTTTAAATGCGTTTTATGTTATTAAGATTATAAACTGTATAAAACAGCAATAAAATCATGAATGTGTTTTACATTAATACAAGCTCATTATATTGTTAAAACAACTTTGCAGTTTGTTTTATTGTTGTTTTATAGCTTTATACAATAAAAATATATACTCTTTAAAAATAAAAAGTATTTTACTGTCAGAATGAACATTAAGTAGATTTCTATGACTAATTAAAGTGGTTAAAATGTTATAATATTTGCTTTTTTACTCTTACTTTTTTACTTTTACTTTTTTAAGTATCATGTTAAGTAAAAACAATTACTAAATAGAATATCTTAATAGTATTAAATACGTTACTTGCTCATTACACTATAACTGCAACTTTAAATTATAACTAAAGCTGTAAATTATAACAATAACTTATGCTATTTTAAACTTGGCCAAAAAAAAAAATAAGATAATATTTAAATATGAGATATATTATGTTAAAAAAATAACAATTACGAACTAATGAACAAAAACTACAATTTTATACTAACCCAACCCCCCTGGCCATTACCGCAAAGCGGCTCCAGGGATGAGAGGAGGGTGGCAAAATTTTTTTTTTCCCCAGCAATCAGATTTTTTTAAATGTAAAAACATATTCGCATATTTACATAAATTTTTATACTTCCTTATAAAAATGTCAATTGAAATAACAAATTAACTTAAAAATTATATACCAATGTCGTAGTTTAATACTTTAAGTTATCACAACTATATTCCATAGAAATTTATAAAAGAAATATTTTAAAACCACAATATTTTTTCAAAAAAAAAAAAATAAATAAAAAACCCAAGAAAAAAAAACATTTAAATTAAATACAATTAAATAAATTTTATTAAAAAAGATGTAATATGCAAAATGTAAAAAACAATATGTAATATTTGAATGTAAAAAATCTACTTATATAAAGTTATGTAAAAACATCTGTGTAAACGTCAGTACGGCGTATTTAATATTTGTGTATGTATAAAAACTTTAATATTTGTGTATGTATAAAAACTTTAATATTTGTGTATGTATAAGAACTTTAATATTTGTGTATGTATAAGATGTATGTATAAAAACTTTTAAAACTCTCAACAATTAAAAGTCTTTTTGCTTAAATTATTTTGTTTTGAAATTTTGCATTTATATTATTGTATTTTAAAAAAATTGGCAAGATTAAAAACAAAAAAATTATTTTCATATCCAAGCAGAGGATTTGATGACTACTCACCACTCTGACACAGAGGATTTGATGACTATAAGCTTACCACTCTAAAGCAGAGGATTTGATGACTATTAGCTTAACACTCTGAGTTATTAACACTTAAGTTAAGAAATTAAAAAAACATAATTCTATAAAAATTATAACGATATAGTTACTAACTCCTCATGCTCCCTCCTCCCTCCTTCTTCTGTAATGCTTACAAAAATTTACATCATAGTTTAACAATCCGCCAAATCTGGTATTAAAAACAGCTTAATTAAAAGATTTTGTAAGAGTTTATTGCAAAAAAGTTGCTACAAGAAAAGTCAAAAAGAAAGAGTTAACTTATTTGACATAACTAGCTCCTTGTAACAATAAATAAATATGATGAAGGTGTTAATAAGCTCTAAGTATGTAGACAAAGTGTGCCTATTAACTTTTTTTGCTCTAAGACTAACTTTTAAATGAATTATTTTTCTATTGGTTACTAAAAAATATTGAAGTAAAAAACTAAAAAATATTGAAATATAGAAATGATCGGTGTGGTACCAAGACTTGCATTTTAATTGGTATTTTAATAAAAAAAGTTCTGGTTATTCAATATTATTTGCAAAAATACTTGTTTTCATTCATCTATTTAATATACTATTTTATCAGTATTGTCTATTACAAATAATGTCGAGAACTAATATTTTCACTAATTGTTCTTCAATTAATTCATATCAAGTAAAAATAAAAAATTAAAAAATACATTTTTAAAGTTTTTTATTAAGAAAAAATGTATTATTTAATAGAATGAATAAAAGTTAGTTAATTAAAGATTTTTTTTTATGAATGGAGTAACACTGCATTGTAAAATTTTGCCAAGTATTGTATAGGTTCAGTTTATTAAATCTTGTTTGTTTGTTTCAATTTTATTTCTGAAATTGCAAATAACTTTAATTAGTCAAGATTACATCCCAGAAAATAGTCATATTGGTTAACCATGCTATAAATAATATTGCCTTGTTAGTATATTGTAGTAATATTTTAAATTCTACACTTTTTAGGCAGTGGTTTTGAAACAAAAGCATGATTTGAATACTTCAATTTACTAGATTATTATAAATTAGAGAAAAAGTAAATTTGAATAAAACAATTATTGCAATTGTATATGAATTGAACTAAATTTTAAAATTATTTTAGATAAAAAATATTAGTTAGTTATAAGCATTATTTATGCAGATTTTCTACTAAAAGAACCATACTATTTAGTGACAAAGTTTAAAAAGATGAGAAGTTTTTATCTTATTGTGAGCCTAAAAAAACATGACTTCTGTGCTAAGAAGTTAAAATCAAAACAAGAATTTATCATGATAAACAAGGCTTCTGTACTGAAAAGTACTTGAATTTTTTTGTATTTTTTAAAAAAAAGTATTGGTCTTGAATGATTCATTTTAAAAGTTGTTTTAAAAATATTTATTGCTTTTTTATTTATTTACTTTTTTTGATAATAGTGAGATTATAATAAGCCGTTTTCTTTTCTTATTGTGAAGCTACATTTAATTACTACATTTGGTTTTTTTTTATTATTTTATTTTAACTAGTTCTTTATTACTTAAATTTTTTTCTGAAAAAAAGTTAAGTATTTAATGATATAAAAAGATTTTTAATTATACTTTTTCATCTCTTATATCATCAGCATTTTTGGAAGCAGGCTTTTCCATTGCTGTAAGACACAGTACTTGCATAATATGATTCTGCATAATGTCTCTAAAAAAATATTTAAATGCACTTTCTCTATTTCTTAAAAAACAACCTTGTATGTCCACTTAGTAGAAAACAAAAAAATTTTTTAAACTAAAATAAAATATTTTACCTAATAACTCCATATTCATCATAGTAACCCCCTCGCCTATATGTACCAATATCTTCTTTAAAAGTGATATGAACACATTGAATATTGTCCCGATTCCAAACAGGACCAAAGATTCTATTTGCAAACCTGATAAATAAGAAATATTACTATTATTTAATCAGTTTATAATTATACAATACAAAATTAAATCTGTGACATCTAAATAGTTAAATAATATTTACATAAGCATAAACCATAATTAAATTGATGAGGTAACCTTCTTAAGCATAAACCATAATTAAATTGATGAGGTAACCTTCTTAAGCATAAACCATAATTAAATTGATGAGGTAACCTTCTTAAGTCATAAAAAGTTGCAAGTAACTCACCTTAGCACCATTATATTCTGGACCATCTCTTTACCTAAATAATGATCAATTCTATATATTTGTTCTTCTTTAAAGCACATTGATAAGTGTTTTGAAAGTACTGATGATGATTCAGAATCTTTACCAAAGGGTTTTTCAACTACAATACGAGTCCATCCACTGCAAGAAAATTGATTTATATAATTTTACATAAAAATTTAGGTATAAAAATTTAGTTTAAAATTATTAAAACATGAAAGTTAAACCTTTTGCTTTGACAATAATCTTTGATCATTTGTGTAACAACTATGAATACAGATGGTGGCAATGCTAAGTAGAAAATTCTGTCTGATTTCTCAATATGTTCAGCCTCTTCTAACTTTCCAATTTCTTCATCTAATTTAATAAAATCATCAGCTTCAGTATAAGAACCAGAGAAATAGTAATTAACATGAAAAAATTCTTCTAACTTGGATCGCTGATCATCGTTTACCTTCATTAAAAAAAAAAAAAATCATAAACTTGTTTGAAAAGTTATATTGCAAAAATTAAAGATAATAAGACAAGCAATAGTCTTGTTAAAACATAAAAGAAGACTTTTTCAAATAGCCACAAAAATAATCCGGAAATTTTCTGCCACCTTCCTTTATATTTTAAAATTATATAAAAATCACCTTCATAAATGGCTCAGCTTGACTACGAATATCGGCTACAGATAACTTTGAACGCGCATAACCCACAAAGTTTGTATGTGTGGGTAACCAATCATGACGATATAATTCCCTGAACGAATTTTTTAATTATTTCATTTTTATAGAATAAATCAAAATAATGTCACACAAAAAAACAAAATTATATCCAAAACAAAATTATATCCAAAATTTAAAGCAACTAATAATGATTCAATTTTATAACAAATTGTCATATTTAGATAACAGTGTTGCAAAAAACAAGTTTTATTTATTTTCAAAATTTCCAAAGCAAAAAACAGTAATTTGATTGTACTTTTTATTTAATAAAACTGGAACATTATTTTTTAACCTTTAGACCATTTTTTTTTGACTTATCCCACAAGAACATTATTGTTTTTTTAACCTTTAGACCATTTTTTTTGACTTATCACACAAGAACATTATTGTTTTTTTAACCTTTAGACCATTTTTTTTGACTTATCCCACAAGGCCTATTATTATTCCGTATTTAAATAGATTCATAGAAATATAAATAAAACCCATTATAACTATAGTTAGCAAGTTTTGGCAAAATATGCATAAACTTCAAGCAACAAACATTTTTATTAACACGAAGAAGTTATGTGATAAGTCCTACCCTAAACATAACTTAAGGAAGCACATTGGAATAACCACTTTGGAAATTATCTTTAATGGTATTGTATCACTTTATGTGTACATATTAGAGAACACAGTGCAACCACACACAATCAACATTTAAAAGTTGTCTCATGAAATTTTTATTCCAAAAAATATAACTATTATTATTATTTCAATGATAAATATTGCTGCAAGATACACTAAAGTTCATTAAACACCGCATAAACCCATACATAAGAACAGCTTCTTTTTTGTGTCAATTTTTTAGTCTTTTCTGAATTTGGCAAAATGTGCATACTTATTTGTGTATATGACAATAATGTTAATATTATCTGTTAAAAATATTTTTAGTACTAAAGTGCACAATTGTGCGCTATTTCAACTGCAAGTAGGAACCAAATTATTTGATTTATCATGTTTAAATTTAGAACAAAACAAATACCAAATAAGAAAAGTTAAATGATTTATGTAATAAATTTTAAATTAATTATATAATAAACAATGATTGAATCATTACAATAAAGAGGCTTTATTGTAATGATTCGATTTATTTTATGTATTGAGGCTTTATTATAAAGTGCCAGATGTCCTTAAAAGGATGAAAAACTATGTCCTAATTAAATTAATATATTTCATAAGTTTCTAAAAAGTTTAGTATATAATTTTGTGAAGTAGTCCATGGCACAATCCTAGGCACATACTTCGTGCTTGCTGGTTATAGGCAACTGATTAGTTTTGCTAGTTTATCAAAAACAACAGCTCAAAGTTAACACAAAAACAACATGTGGAGTGGCAAAAAGCTTATTAACAACACCCATTCTGAAAAGTATTTTATTCTTTTTATTACTATTTTATAAAAATGAAAGCTTAATTAATAAGCTACATTAATAAAGATTAAGTTGATCTATGGGTTTTGATTTTGTACCTGGCTTGGACAGGAATGGCGTGCGATCAAATGCTATTGCTGACCACACAGATTTTTTTATTTATTTACTTGACACAAGCATTTAGATGTTTTGATGATTAAACATTTCAAAAATGGTGTGCGACCAAACGCTATTCTGAAAAGAAACGCTAAGCTTAAACTAGAAAAAAAAATTTAAAGCAACACAAAACAAAAAACAATTTCTTACAAATAAGAAAATATGTAAGCGAAAATTACTTTTTGCTACATTTTTAATTGCGATTGAAATAAATTACTTTAAAACTTATCTTTTGAAACGTTTTATTAAAGTTACTCAAAACGCTTTTACAAAATTCATCTAATCATTGTTTAATCAATGAACTAATTTTATTTAAATAATTGTAAAGTGAAATTAAATTATTGAAAAGAAAAATATAATATTTTTAAATTGTATGTATACATTTTTTTTAAAAAGTTACAAAACAAAAACTTTTTTAAGTAATAACGTAATCTTTTTAAAATAGAAATTTTTAATCATTACATTAGTAAGCCAAGTTTAAAAAAAAGCTTTTAAATAATTCTTTGTAAAAATTATAATTAGTTTTTTAAACTATTTAAAGCCTTTACATAATATAAAAACTTTAAAAAAGATCAACAACAAAAAGTTATTCATAACGTTACGATTTTTAAAATTGCATTTAAATTGTTAAAACATTTAAACAGCCGTGGTCAAATATAACTGCATGAACATTACAGAAACTTTTAATAAATGCCAGCATTACCAGAAATCTTAATAATTGAATGACTCGAATTTATATTTTTAATAACTAACTATATATTATCCAATTATTTTTTCTAGAGAAATAGTTAAATAGATTAAAAAAATCTATTAAATATTTTTTTAACTTTTTAACTCAACCTAAAGTTAAAAACAAATTTTTACAAATTTTTTTTATCTTAGGTGAATATTATTTATTCCCAAACATATTTTACTTATTCACAAAGATTTTTACACTTTTGTGCTTGTTCTGGAGTACCTAAGTTCCAAGAAACTACTATGAAATCACCTATGATGATAATTTTTACTGAGTTTAATATTTTTGCTGAGTTTAATCTTTAAACTCAGCAAAAATGTTGAGTTTAAGGATTATGTCAATGCAGCTTGTTTAACTAGGCTTGCAAATAATTGGCATATGATTATAAAGAACAAGATGTTGCAAAAGTAAGATAAAGAAAAGAGAAAAAAGTATATGAGATTACATTGTTAGAATTTATGCAACAGTCTGTTAAAATTATGTTAATGAATCTCTCTGACCATAAATACAGCAATTTTATAAGGCAATACACAAAAAAACAAACTCTTAAGAAAGGTATCCAGGCTATCTACTAACAACAAACAGGCTTTCTGATTTATATTATAACAATCAGGTTTCTAATTTTTATTATAAAGACATTTTTTTAAAAAATTTCATTATTATTTTAATATCTATTATATAATTATGTTATTATATAGGCTATTTTGCAAACGTATTAATTTAATTATTTCTTGACCTCATAGCATTTGCTTGTTGCTGGTTAAACTTTTAAAGATGAAATTTTGCATAAAATGCATATTATTGGGATCCAGCAAACATTTCTTTTATGTAACTAAGTAAAAATGTTTGAAGAAACAAAAATATCTTAATTTTTTTAATTGTTCCACAATGTTGCACAAAGAACTTTTTGTACCATTAAAACATGCTACATAAATTTCTGGTGGAAAAATAAAACAAATAGCATCATATTGATCTGCATTGTTGAAATGTTTACATTTGTATAAACATGGTCAAATAACAACCTTTTCATATGTAAAGTACCATGTAAACTGTGTTATAAAAAAATGGTGATTGCAGGTATTATTGAACAATTAGTATAATATACTTATAATTTAAAACTCATGCATTGTAATGTAATTGCATTATTCAAACTGTATAAAAATGCATTTCTTTGCTATTTTGATAGAAACTACTAATGATTGTATTCACCTTGTTGTAAGTTGCTTGGCAGAGATGTCAGCATCATCACAGGCACTCTTTTCATGTGATGTAACATAAAAATGCCATTCTGCAAATTATTTATTATCTAGTTCATGCTGATATGTTAGATATCATTTTATAAATTTTGTATTGTGAACCAGCTACAATAGTCTAATAATACTAAAATGATTACATGTTATGTTATTTTTTAAATGCTGCAAATATGCTGCTTGCTTTTCAGCAATATAGCAATGGTCTCTTAATTGTTTTATTCATTGACAAGTATTTTTAATAAGATTATTTACTGAAAAGAGTTATTTAGAATAAAACAAAACTTTTGTTAGCTTTTTTCTATTGATTCAATTCTATTTCTTTAATGTTGTGTATATAAACAAAGTAGTTAAAAAGTAAATAAACTGGGCAGACCTAAGACTATTTAAAGCCTCAATTTAATTCAAGTTTAATTTAAAGTGATCCTAAACTCTCAACACATGTTTTGTTCATATTAAAGATAATGTTGAAAATAAAAATTTGAACCAAGTTTTTTTTATTAAAAATAAATAATGAATAAATACCTAGAAAAACTAATTTTGTTATTTTAGTCGAAGCTCGCCTTCTCCATTTTATTCAAAAAATCAAAGTCTTTAAATTATATGTTGCAACCTACAGACTTTGGAAAATCCTTTGAAGCGCATTTAATTCATAAAAGTTTTAGTATTTGATGCCACAGTAGACTTATGACAAATGAAAAGTGTAATTAAACCAAGCTTTGCTTTTCTACTTTTATTTAAAAAGTACGTTGTAGTATTTTTTTTAACATACAGCAAAACAAATTTATTTGCATTATTTTTCCAAACAATGCAAAAAAAAATTGTAAAATGTAAAAATAATAAATTATTTTTATTTTATAGGAGCAACTTATCTTTTACAGATATCTTAATAATTTTTAGATTTATATATCTTACTTATATTTATTTTGTTTTTAAATTAAAAAAAAAATTAAAGCTTTGCTTACCAATCTTTTACCAAATCAAATGATTTTCATACAAGTATTTTACATTATAAAGAACATTATAAATAAGGGCTCTCATTTTTGTACAAGAGTTTTATATATTCTGAATATTACTTATTATTACTAATTAATTTCATTAACTGACAGTATTAATTATAGATATTTGATGAACTGTTAAATTTGTTTATTACAAATTTTAATTAAGCTGATTTAATTTAAATTGTCAAAATGTGGTAATGCACATTAAAAAACATATTATGTTTGGTATTTTTCAATTTATGTGTTGTACTTGACATTTGTCTCTTAACATGGAAAATTAAAAAACAAAATTAATAAATAAGAAATACATGTTTTTCAAAATAAATTTAATTAAATATTTTCTCACATGGCTTAATAAGATAAATTTTGCGAATATGTGAAAACACTTGATGAAAATTTTACTAAACAATAGTTGATGTGACGTCTGACTTTTTGGCGCAAAATTTTAGTTCTGAATGTCAGACAAGAAAACTTTGTTTTTT